CCCTCTTCATTCTGTGCTGCCTGTAACGTGCCTATGTCCCCCACATCCTTAAAAAACCCTCATTTGATCTTTCCATCCTTGCTGTTGTCTCATATCTCTTTTGTCCTTTGTAGCTAAATGTCTCAAAAAGACCATCTATAGTCAGTGCCTCCTTTCTCTCCTGTCACTCTCCTCTCAGCTCTTAAATCTGTCTTCTGACCTTCTTTCACTGAAACTTCTCTCTCCAAAGGTGCCAATAATCTCTTTGTTGCCAAATCTAATGGCCTTTTCTCAGTCCTCATTCTCCATGACCTCACTGTAGCCTTTGACACTGCTGATCACTCTCTCTTCCTTGATACTCTCTTCTCTCTAGGTTTTTGGAGCACCGGTCTTTCTTGTTTAGCCTCCTTCGTATCTGGCTGCTCTCTCTGTCTCCTTTGGTGGATCCACTTTCAGATCGAACCCTCTAACCACAGGTGTCCCTCAGTGTTCTGTCCTGCATCCTCTTCTTTTCTTCCTCTGTGCTGCTTCACTTGGTGATCTCATCAGTTTCAATGGATTTAATTACTGTCTTTATGCTGATGATTCTCAAATCTACCTTTCATATCCCAAACTCTCTGCTGACCTCTAATCTTGCATCTCTAACTACCTTTCAAACATCTCAAAAGTGGATGTCCAGTGGACATCTTAAACTAAACATGTCCAAAACAGAAATTGTTCTTTCCCCAAAGCCTCTACCCATCCACCCACCCACTTCCTTTCCACCTTACTGTAGAAGTCAACACTATCATTCCAGTCTCTCAGGCTCACAATTTGGAAGTCATCCATGACTGTTCACTATCTCTCACATATTCTCCCCTTCACTGAATATCCAGTCTGTTTGCAAGGTCTGTCAGTTTCACCTTTGTAACCTTTGAATTGAATTGAATTGAATTGGTGTTATCACCTAAACTGCAAAGCCCCCTTCTCTCCTCTGACATTGTCACCACTCTAGTGCAGGTCCTCATCACCTCATGCACGATTATTGCAATAGCCTGCTGGTGGGTCTGCCTGCCTCTTCTCCCTCTCATCTCAATCCATTACACATTCAGCCACCAAAATGATTTTCCTAAACTGTGGATGTGACCATGTCATACACCCTGCTTTATAAGCTCCAGTGGCGCCCTTTGGCCTCCAGGATCAAATGCAAAATCCTCTGTTCAGCATTCAAATCCCTTCATAACCTAGCCCCTACATCCTTCCTGGTGTTTTTTCACCTTATTTCCATCCACGTATTCTTTGATTCAGTGACACTGGCTTCACACTGTTCCATGACTTTGAACTTCTGGAGTTTGACTGTGGCTTTTCTTAAATTTGGAGTTTCCTTCAAGTGGATTGGCTTTGTAGTTCTTTCATGGTGTCCAAGTTTTTGTTTTGTCACAGTTCTCAGGGAACTCAATGATTTTAAAATTCTTTCCTAGTCTTTTTCAGGACAGTTTTTGATAACTTATTCTAATTTTTTCAGTCTTTGACTTTGCTGTAATATTTTCTGTTATTGAATTTTTTAGTTTTTTCTCCATTCTATTTTACAGGCTGTCCACTACTTAGGTGAAATTTTCTATCTTTTGTAAGCTATTTGTTCTCCCAGGTTTTTTTTTGAGAGCTCTAAATTTCCTTCTTTATTAGTTGCATACTTATTTTCTTCTGAACTTTTAGTTTTGTAGTCTATTAATCCGTAGGTTTACTTCTATTTGCATATATCTTCGCCTTCTGTGCCCTGGGAAAGATTTCATACTTTGTCTATGTCCCATTTCCCCCACCCCAATACCCATCTTCTGTTATCTTTGCATTTGCTGGAGTTATTGTTACTCAGCAAAGGACCAGGGAATGGGACTGCCAGCAGTGAGCTCTTTTTTAGGACTAGAGTGAGACAACTAACAGTCTTGCTCAGCAATAGCTTTTTGCCTGTCTTTTCTAGCAGTCTTAACTTTTTGGGACACTAATGTGGTGAATTGGGCTTCTGGGATTCTAATATCAGTGCTCTGCCCCCCTCCTCAGTTGTCTCTCCCTCCTTCCACTTTATGATCTAGCAAACCCTAGCCTTCTTGTTGTTCCTTGCACATGATATTCTGGTCTCTCTACTTATCACAGGCTGACCCCTATCCCTGGAACACTTTCCCTTTTCACCTCTGTCTTCTTCCTCTCTCTCTAACCTTTTTTCAGGATTCAGCTCAAATATCATCTGGGCAAATTGCCCTAGAATGTATTCCCTTCCCTTCTTCTTATTGAAGGCCTTAGCTTCCTTCAAGGCTTATCTCAGGTACCGCTTCTTACTTTTCCTTACTTCTCCTCATTGTCCTTCAGTTATTAGAACTCTCTTGAAATTATTTTGTATTACTTTATATACTTCATATTTATTAAAAAATTTTTTCAGGTTGTATTTTCCTTGTAGAATGTAAACTCTGAGGGTAGGTACTGTTTTGTTTTTGCTCTTGTATTCTCAGTGTTTTCCACATGGTAGATATTTGAATTGAATTGAATTGAATTGGTGTTATCACCTAAACTGCAAATCCTGGCAAACTGTAAAGGTCTGTAAAACCAGTAGATTACTAAGACCTGCTTATTTCAAACAATGTTCAATACTATAATATTCTAGTCCATTCTCTTGAAGTTTGTTATAATGAGATTTAATGTATAGGCATCACATTTTTCTGAGAAAGGGCTACTACATTTTGGCAAAAGAATGAAATTTATTCCTTCCTGTAAAAAAACATCATATTGGGGGGGAATCTACTGCAGAAATGACGTAGAAGTTCATCTGAGGCTTTAGGGGTTAGTTTTAAGCTCAGTATAAGTCAATAGGCATGATATTATCATCAAAAAAAGCTAACTGTTACAGGCTAGTAGAAGATGATATTCAAGAATAGGGAGAATGGTAGTTCTTATGTCTTCTTCCCTAGTTAGACTACATCTGGAATATGATGAGTTATAGGCTTCACATTTTAAGGAGAATCTTTTCAAACTTGAGTGCCTCCTGAGGAGGATGATTAGGATGCAGAAGGGACAAAAACTATTTTATGTGAAGATCAGTTGAACAACTTAAACAGGAGTAGTATTAGAGTGAAAGTCTTTATCTTGGATAAGAGAAAGCTTAATACTTAGGTAATAGAAGGCCTGAGCCTAAAGGGACCTAGTTCACTGTAGTTCAGCCCCCATAAAAAAAGGAAACATAGAGAAACTGAGTCACTTTCCTAGATCACGTAGCCAACAAGCAACATTGTTAGGATCCAAATCCAGGTTGTCTGATTACAGATCCCATTGCTCAGGTAGCTATAGGAGTATAGTATATAACATAGTATCTGTTAGTTAGAAGAATTAGTCTTATTGTCTTTGAGCCCAAAGAGCATACCTAAACAAATGTTAAAGAGAAATAGATTTCAGGTCACTATAAAGAAGGATTTTCTAACAGTTACGATGAAATGGACTGCTCATTGAGATTGCTCCAAAATTGTTCAAGTAGTTCAAGAGACTGCTGGTCTTGACCAACAATTGGGGAGGAATTTGACTAGATTTCCCATAAGACCTTTTCCTCTTATCAGTTATCCCAATGTCTTCGAGCAGTTGACTGAGGTTAACCAGCAGAACCCAATAAAGGCATGACCACATTAGCCATAACTTTTCATTTAACCGTAAAGTAGCCTTCAGGGTCTCCCAACACTATTGCTGATTGCCAAACTATTTTTTAAAATGCCTGTTTTTCATATAATAGTCTTGAATGGAGGCAAGGAAGAAGGATAGGTCATCTGTAGTTTTAGTAATTTGCTTTTAGTAGTTTAATTCAGTCTTAATGTGGAGGATGATTGTAATATTCCGTGTGAATATTAAATGAGAGATAGAAAAAGCCATCTTGGAACAAGAATTTTGAATTTCTACCCTGTGATTTCTACACCCTAATGACAGGTCCAAATTTTGGAATGTGTTAACAGGATTTTACTGAGCCAGTCTCTAACCTGAGAATGACAAAACAGCAGGATAGAGACAAAGTGCCAGTAATCAAGTATCTGTTAAATTAGTTTCATTATGAGGAACAGATTTGCAAATTGGGAATTCTCCTGATCAGAATTCCACTTCACTGAAGTGAAGACAGAGATTATATACATAAATCACAAGTGGAAAGGTGGATTACAGACAATCCTTCCCAGGGCCAGAGTGGTTTCCCACGACAAACTCTCAAATGGAGGACAATACAACAATTCTGGAGTCCTGTAGGAGCAATATTGCTCAAGTCCTTGGGGGTCGTTACTTGGTGGGTCACAGGACCAGAGTTCTGTGACAGGACAGGTTGTGCCATCTTTGATTTACTTCGATTCAGGTATGCAGGCAGAAAGATGCCAGTGGTTGTGAGCCTTGTCAAAGTTTGAATGATCAGTTCATGCTGCATTGTGAGCCCTCTCACCAGAGAGGTGATTCTGAAAAGTCTAATCTATCAGTATATTCATTACACATACCATATCAGTTATTATAAAAATCAGCATTCCCTCCACAAATGCTTAGGCTTAGTTTATTCTAAGACATATTTTCAGGGCCTCCTGAAAAAGAGTTGAAAAACACTTTCATGTAATCATTGGCATCATTATGGAAAAATTATTTCTTTAGCTCCCTTTCATTTTAGGTATGTTAGCTATTAGTTCATTTAATACCTAGAGATAGGGACTTGAGTCTTCTCCATTTTTCATAACTTATTAGAACAACAGATATGTTGCCCCGTACACATGTATACTCAGTAGTTTTATAAAACCATGCTTGTCTGAAAACTTTAAAAAAACCTTTTTTTTTGTTGTTGGTTTGTTTATAATCTCAAGAGCTAAAAATGCCTGCTTTTTTGTGTACTGCTAATATTCATTCCTTAAATGGATTTTGTAGTGGTCCAGAAGCTCTCTGGAAGAGTTTTAACTATACTTACTTCATGGATGTGGAAGTCATTCCAATATCTCTTTGTTCATGCTCACAATTTTTTTTCTTCCATTTGCTTTCTCCCACAGCTCCTGAATATTGGTGTTCAATTGCTTACTTTGAAATGGACGTTCAGGTAGGAGAGACATTTAAAGTTCCTTCAAGCTGCCCAATTGTTACTGTCGATGGATATGTGGACCCATCCGGAGGAGACAGATTTTGCTTGGGTCAGCTCTCCAACGTTCACAGAACTGAAGCCATTGAGAGAGCAAGGTAACAGCAAAAATGAATGTAAACATATTGGCAGAATAAAATTTGTTCTTGGTTTTTTTTTTTTTTTGGATGAGGCAGTTGGAGTTAAGTGACTTGCCCAGGGTCATACAGCTAGTAACTGTTAAGTGTTGGAGGCCGTATTTGAACTCGGGTCCTCCTGACTCCAGGGCTGGTGCTCTATCCACTCTTGTTTTTTCTAAGGCATACATTTCTGTGTAGATTATATGGGCTGTTATGAGTGAGGTAGATATCAGGGACATAACTTTTAAAAAATGTTTCTGTAATTTTAGTTCTGTCATTAAATGGCTAAGTAATTTGGAATTCTTTAGTTTGATTTATTAGGTTAAGTGATGGGATATATGAAAAATTTGAGAGACATTATTTCTGGGTATTTAATCATTGTATTAATTATGGCTAGTGAATAATTAATAAAAAGGTGATCATTTGGCCTTCTCTCTAAGCCAAAGACCCCTCCTGGAAGGCCTCTTGACACTTATATGTACCCTTCTATGTACCCTTGGAAGAGTGGGTGTTCCTGAGAGGGGCAATCAACTCTGATTGGTTAACAATGAGAGAATGAATATTATTCTTATTATTCTTATTATTATTCTTAAGGCAATTGGGGTTAAGTGACTTGCCCAGGATCACACAGCTAGTAAGTGTCAGGTGTTTGGTCTGAGGTCAGATTTGAACTCAGGTCCTCCTGACTTCAGGGCCAGTGTTCTATCTACTGCGCCACCTAGCTACCCTGAGAAGTGGACTTATTCTAGTAAGGGGTGGGGGAAATGGCTTTGATTATGTTGCTCTTACTCCTAGACCACCCCCTAGCCTTTGGCAATCTAGACAAAGAATCTGAGTACCACCATGACCACCCCCAGCCTGAGTAGAACACAATGGGCTGGAATTCACCTAGATTGGATTCTTTTTGTAGGTTTTTTTCTATTTTAATGGGGTAACAATTCCACCTAGGTAAGATGGCCTAGGTGGGGTACATTTTTGGGCAGGGTCAGTAATGTCCTTCAAAGGCTAGCTATATTAAGCTACAGGGGTTTATTTCTGAATGAGGAAATAAAAAGAAAAAAATCTTGATCTCAATTAAGCATTGGTTGTTAATATGAGAGAGATAATTTCTCAAGAATAAGATAAAAGAAGCATTAATTAAAATGTGTTAAAAACAGATTTTGGTAAAATATGAAAATACATTAAAATTTAATTTTCTTTTCCCTCTTTTAAGGTTGCACATAGGCAAGGGTGTGCAATTGGAATGTAAAGGTGAAGGTGATGTTTGGGTTAGGTGCCTCAGTGATCATGCAGTGTTTGTGCAGAGTTACTACTTAGACAGAGAAGCTGGGCGAGCACCAGGAGATGCTGTTCATAAGATTTATCCAAGTGCATATATAAAGGTTGGTGTTTTAAATTTGTGGAATTTTTTGCTTTCTAAAACTGATTATTACTGCATTTATAAGAATTTGGGGTAGATAGAAAAAGAAATGGTTTTTGTATTTAATTGTAATAAATGTGGAATTATTAGAAAGTTGTGCTTAATATTCTGAGAACTTATTCTTAGTGGATTTTGCAGACACAACCATGAACTAATTATTTAGTGATTGGTGTTTTTTTCAGTTAGCAGACCCTAGGTAGCAGACCCTTTTAACAGAGAATCTATTATAAAAGTTTTACTTTAGGGTAACGTGAAACCTCTTGTTTATCACAAAAGTATTTTAATGCAGTGGAACTTCACAAATTCAAGTTATACTCATTTGGAATTTGCAAAAAGGAAAACATACAGTCCTCACTGAACAAAAAAAATGTTAAAAATTTTTTCCTCTGCAGATTTTTATTATCTTATGAGTAATGGGAATCCAGTCTAAAATTAGTAGCTTTTCAAACTGAGGGCTCAAAAATTTAAGAAATCCTTCAACATGTCTTTAGCATCTGGGTCCAGCTCTTCTTGTATGTTAAAAGAATATATTTGATGCACTACTATGTAATTTAGGCCTATTGTGACTTACCTTATTTTCACTGATTTTTGCAAATTAGAACCTAATTGACATTTATAATATGCATTCCACATGAAAGAATGGTAATTTAATAATTTGTATTTTGGGGGGGAGGTGCTAGCCAGTGGCGTTAAGTGACTTGTCTAGGGTCACACAGCTAGTGAGTGTCAACTGTCTAAGGCCGCATTTGAACTCAGGTCCTCCTGACGCCAGGGCCGGTGCCGTATTCACAGCCACCGAGCTGCCCCATAATTTGTATTTTTTAACAAATTATCTTGTACCTCTCCTGCTTGTGACCATTTTTATGAATTTAGTGAGGTTTTAATGCATGTTGAGTAACAGTGACTGAGAAGGACTTCCCTTTAGTTCCTGGGAAGTTACTTGGGGTACCATATTAATTCAGTCAAACATATCTTGTACAAAAATGGTAGTCCTTATAAGCCATATTCTCAGGGGTCTCATTATAAGCTATCATTCCATTAAAATTTATGGGTTTATTTAATGATGGACCATTTCTGAAGTAATTAGATCTTATATGTTAAGGTTTAATTGGTATAAACTGCTATTGAGTTGCCATAGAAGAAATTTTGTTTAATGTTTTAGCAAAGGTATCATACTTGAATACCCAGAGTGTGGCAGTTTGTCTAAAGACAAACATATCTGATGAGAACTGTAACCGACCATTTTACAGTGACCTCAAGCTTTTCTTTTTAGCAGTGAACACATTTTATGAAGCATTTCATTGTAAATGCATAACGTAAAAAAGAGCACTATTCCTTCTGGTTTATTAGACTTTTTTGAAACTGGCAAAAAAATTCCCGTACTTCACCAAGTTTGTATTCAGTATATTCTTCAGCTTTTATTAGCTAAAATAAAAAAGTAACTTGGATGTACACAAAATCTAAGCAGTGGCATTTTATCTGTTAACAGTCTTTGGGCAGTAGCACCTGAGGTATATGTATGGAGAGTGGCATCTATATTGCCAGATAATTTAAATAAATCCTCATTTGTTTCACAGAGAGGCAATGTAGTGTAATGGATAGTGAGGTAGCCTTGAAGCCAGGAAGATCTGAGTTCAAGTGCTACCTCTTATACATACTGACTTGACCATGATCAGATCACCTAATGTCGTGGTGTTCTAGGTAACTCCAAGACTATAAATTGCAAAGGTGCATTGATTGACATACTTACTGGGAAGTTCTCAATGAAATCACAGGCATATTCTTGATCTCTGTCCTTTGATTTGTTTTAAGTTATTGGTACCAATGTTGTCGTTTAACCTTTTAGACCACATAATTCAGCAAGTATTATGAATAATCCCTTCAATAGTGAATGAAGACTGCATATTACACTACAAATAACTGTGCAGTATGACTTAGAATCTACCAGCAGGAAGTCATAATTTGCTTCCCACCCTCAAATTCCTTCCTTTTCATAACTAATTCTCTGGATACTTGAGCACATGGGGGCTTGCTTGTTTAGGAGGCAGTGAGGTGAAAAGAACACCAGTGAAATTAGAGTTGGGAAACAGGCACTAGAACCAGTGGTCTGGTTTTAAACATCCTTCCCAAATGAAGTATTCTTTCTTTCCTATCCTAGAGTACTTTGGATTCCTCATTTCCTGGCATCGCACCTTACCTTGTATTATACCTGTATATGTATATGTCTTATCTATATCAGCAGAATGTAACTTCCTTAAGGGTAGGGGTTGTCGTCTTTTTAATATTGAATCTGTGATGTCTGTCCCAGTGCTTTGTGCATAGTCGGCAGTAAAGAAATGTTTGAATCCAGTTGGATCGTATGTTCGTATTTCCAGCAATGCTTCACACTTCCTAATGTCATTATTTTATTTTAAATTCATTTTTTAATTGAAGGTTTGGATTTTTTTGCTTAATGTTCACATTCTGATTTATGAAAGCATTGTCAAACATTTACCACTAGACTGCTTTTGTAAGTAAATACTTAAATTCAAACCCTGGGGAGAAAAACAACCAATATTAGTCGGCGATATTTATGAAGCACTTACTTGTGATAGAGATGATTACTTTTATCCACATTTCAGAGCTGGCTGGAAACATTTCTGAATAAAGGAAGTTCAAATGAAGTTGCCTATTAACTCAAAACTACTCAGAAGTATTTTTGGCTCCAAGCTAACATCTGTTTAACATTAGTTATTTCTAAATTGTCCTAAATTATAAGTAAAAATTCTGAATAAGGGTATGTGGCATTTTAATGATGTCTTTGATGATATATTCTAATATTTGCAGATGGAAATTATGATATAATGGATGAATCAAAATTTGACAGCAGAGAACAACTAACTTTTTCCCCAGCATTGTAGCTGGGAAGAATTGTCAGGCTTTTGGATTTGATGTCTTTAAACTTCAGAAATAACTCTTGTAGGAGAAAAACACTGCCGAGATTCTTGCATTTGATTATCAACACTGCAGTCACCAAGTTTTATCATTATAATTACTTTGTATGCTATTGATGTCATAGTAGAATTAGTCTAAAACAACAGCACCTGGAATTGTTTACAACAGCCTGTGAAACCAAGTGTGGTTAGCAGTGTGGTAAAGTCATCTGTGTTATTTTTATTTTCTCTACCAGGGGTTTTGGATCAGCATATTTTAGTTGTTGAAATTTAGTAAGTTTTACTGCCCCTCATTTTCACTAAAATCACGTTTTAATTGGGGAGAAAACAAGAAACTAGTAGTTATTAAGGCCATTGATAGGTACACAAGTAGAAGGTATCTGTTAACATCTTGGATACTTCATTCTAGCCCTGTAGAGGTTCTGTAATCTAATTCTGGTGCAAATTCTTGTGTTGATAAAATTATAATGTACTTGCCTTCGACCTCATTATGAAGTAGACATAAATGGAATTAGAGTGAACATTATATAGTAAACTGATATGTGAATACATAATAGAAGTTTGTAGTTTTTATTTCACTGGTGTTTATCAGCAAAGGCTTTGTAGAAAAAGGTATGTCTTGAACAGAGATGTAAACAATGGGGAGGACTGTGATTTTGCACATTTGGGAAGATGAAAATTATTTTGTGTATATATGAATAACTTAAGCTGTTAGTTCAAATGGGAAAGGGTGCTTTATCTAATTTACTTTGGTTCATACCTAATAATGTATCAATGATAAAGTGATGATACTGTAGCTAAGGTTAATCACCTAGGTACTTACCCATCATGGATATGGAAATAAGGAGTTTCTGTGTACATTTAACACTTTGGTTCATAAACTGATATAAGCCTGGAAAAAATAGTAAATTATTTTTCTTTTGTTTTCAAGGTTAATTTATGCCTGTCTAACACTTCTCTTAATTATGAGCTAGCATATCAAAATGATATTATATGTATGTGTTGGGGTAAGGAGAGGGAAGGTTAGCTGGCTAAGTTGGGAATTTTTAATGAGCATTATTTGGTAGTTTATTAGTAAGTGGTAAAGTAGTGGGATTAAAGGTTTAGTACATAGTGGAACAATGACTTTTTTTGGGGGTGGTGGGGTTGGTGAGGCAGTTGGGGTTAAGTGACTTGCCCAAGGTCACACAGCTAGTAAGTGTCAAGTGTCTGGGATCAGATTTGAACTCAGATCCTCCTGACTCCAAGGCTGGAGTTTTATCCACTGTGCCACCTAGCTGCCCCCTGGATCAATGACTTTTACCTTGTCCCATGACTCCTAGCCTAACCCTAGCCATATACCTAGTAAGTGCATGCTACTTATTGTAAAGATGCCTAGTCAGGACAGTTCTGATGGCTCACCATAAATCCGTCTTCATTATTGTAGGAGAAGAGAAAAACCACCAAAATTTCTTCCTTTTTTTAACTTAAAAATCAAATGTTATTTTTTGCCCCAGTTAGTTATAAGTCAGTTTCCCCCTGCCCCCTTACCTATCCTTACCCACCATTAGAACATTTGTAAAAAATATGCATAGTTGAGCAAAGCAAATTCCCACAGTGGCCATATCCAAAATATGTCTTAGTCTACATGTTGAATCCATCATCTCTTTCAAGAGGTATGTGGCATGCTTTATTATCACTCCTCTGGAATCATGGTTGATCAGTATTTTGATCAGAATTCTTAGGCTTTCAGGGGTGTTTGTTTTTATATGTTATATTATTGTTATTGTATGAATTACTCTCCTAGTTCTGCTCACTTCATTCTTCATAATTTCATACAAGTCTCCCTAGGTTTCACTGAAACCATCCCTTTCATGATTTCTTAACAGCAAAATATTCTATTACCTTCATATACCATAGTGTGTTCATTCTGCGTTTGGTGGGTACCCTCCCCCCTTAATTTCTAGGTCTTCATGTACTAAAAAAGAGTTGCTTTATTTTTATACAGTGTCTTTTTCTTCTTTTTAATATGTCTTTGGGTTAAATGCCT